ATCGAAATGGCCGAAGATGACGAGCAAGTTTGGAACAAAATTATTATGTCCGATGAAGCCCATTTCACATTGAATGGGACCGTAAATAAGCAAAATTGCCGTTTTTACGCCACTGAAAATCCTCAGGAGATTCTAGAAGTGCCTCTTCATGACGAAGAAGTCACAGTTTGGTGCGGCGTTAGTGCGAAAACAGTCATTGGACCGTTTTTCTTCCAAAATGAAAATGGCCATGCTGTTACCATCAATCAGGAGCGTTATCGCGACAAATTTGTGATGCCAATTATTTGTCGAAACCGTATGAGGCAGTTCTGGTTTCAACAAGACGGCGCTCCACCGCACACAAGTCGCATAACAATCGATTTTCTGAAGAATTTGTTTCCGGCCCGTTTGATGTCGAAAAGTGGTGATTTGGACTGGCCACCACGTTCGCCCGATTTTACGCCGCCTGTCTTCTTCTTGTGGGGATATTTGAAGTCAAAGGTTTACATTAACAAGCCATTGACCGTAGAAGACAACATTCGTGGAGAAATAGCCGCTATTCCGGCCGAAATGTTGGCAAAAACGATAGAAAATGCAGCAAAAAGGGCACAATACGTCATCAACGCCAGAGGCGGCCCTTTGAGAGATATTATATTCAAAAATTGATATAAACAAATCTACTTGGAACAAATTAAATGATTAACATTGCCATGCGCCAAATTTTTATTTTTTTCTTTGTTTAAAAAAAAAAAAAAAAAACATGGGTACGTCGAATATGGGCAACCCTGTAATTGTCATTAATTTAAGGATTCTAATAATATAGAAGGTATGTGGTTGTCATTGCTAGTAGTGTAGAATGTTGTTGGGTCCATCCATCTAAGACCCACAATGTGCATTTTTCGGCAATCTATAATTTTTTTTCAATTTTATGATTATCATTCCATACTTCCCACCCATTGCTAGGTAAACCTTTCATTTTTCGGCTCATTCGGCATTTTTCAATTACATGAATCAATAATTGAAAATGGTTAATGGTGATGTTTGTGGACCTCCTTATGAATATCAATCACAACTTTTAATTACATTTGCAAAAGGCAGCAAATAAAGCCATGGCATATAAAATGAACACCTTTAATTAAATACTTATGCCGAAATCATAATGCCGTGTAATATCGGCTTAAAAATGGGAAAATGCAAATGAAACACTTGCCGACGCACACAACTGCAAGCCCTTCGTTGCACAGCACAACAAGGAATGAATGTGAGAATGAGTGTGTGTGTGTGTGTGTGAGAGTAAAGTCGTGCGTGCATCTCATCTCGTTCATTCATTCATTGCACTTCGTCCGCTCATTCATTCGTTCGTTCGTTCATTATACCCTCCACCATGGGTAGGAGGGTATATTAACTTTGTCATTCCGTTTGTAACACCTCTAAATATTCGTCGTAGACCCCATAAAGTATATATATTCATAATCAGCATAAAATTCTAAGACGATTTAGCGATGTCCGTCTGTCTGTCTGTCTGTCCGTCTGTCTGTCCGTCTGTCTGTCTGTCTGTCTGTTGAAATCACGATAGAGCCCACATTATTTGACGTAGACCTTTGAAATTTGGCACAAGTGTGTGTATTGTCCCTAGGATGGTTGGTATTGAAAATGAGATATATCGGTCCACGTTCTGGTATAGTCCCCATATAACGGTACCTCCCGATATTCGGTATTTTGATGATTTATGCCACATTTTTTCACGGATTTATCTGAAAATTGGTATTTGTAGGTCATGACGGGTCCCTGAGCGTGTGGCAAAACATTGCATGTATAGGTCCACGTTTTGGTATAGCCCCCATATAACGGTACCTACCGATATTCGGTATTTTGATGATTTATGCCACATTTTTCCACTTATTTGTCTGAAAATTGGTATTTGTAGGTCACAACGGGTCCCTGAGCGTGTGGCAAAACATTGCATGTATAGGTCCACGTTCTGGTATAGTCCCCATATGACGGTACCTCCCGATATTCGGTATTTTAATGATTTATGCCACATTTTTTCACTGATTTGTGTAAAAGTTGGTATTTGTGGGTCATAATGGGTCCTACTTCGTGTGGCGAAACATTGTAATTATAGGTGCACGTGTTGGTGTAGCCCCTATATAACGGTACCTCCCGATATTCGGCATTTTAATGTTTTTTGCCACATTTCTTCTAATGTTCTTTTACCCTAGGGTGGAGGGTATTAAAAGTTTGGCCCGGCCGAACTTAATGTTTTTTTACTTGTTGTGAATTTATAATGAAAAAATCAATATCTGCTTACAACTCCCGCCAGCATGCCATGGGCGATTGCAATAATACCACTTAATATTAAATTACTTTTTGATACTTTTATATTTTAATGACGTTATGATCACATAAATGCTCAACAACAAAATCATAACGGTGCACAAGCGATGCAACCCACCTTGCCAGCCAGCCAGCTCAGTAGTCCCGCAAGCCACTGGACAGGATGGCAAGGCAAAATTGGCCATTGGCGGCGTCAGTGTAATTTTTATTGCAGTAGAGACAGACTTTCCGCCGGCTAACGGCTTGATGCTAGTTAAGTAGGAATTGTATTGTTGATGCCATTCGCTGGATGCTGCACAATCATGTTGCACCGACTTGTGTGTGAGGCATTGCATTTTAAATATCCCAACCAAAGACAACAAAAACTAAATGATTTTTTTGTTTCTCTGTGCGTTGAAGAATTTCCACAGCAAATGTAATGAAGAGAATGAATGAATGAATAAAGGCAAATGTATCAAGTAAAATCCTCTGAGTTTCAGTTTTATTGGATTGAAATTCGTGCACAGTGGTTTGACGATAATCAAAGGATTTGTGTTTTAAGCCACATTTGAAATAAGGTTTTATCTTACTTGCTGACATATTATGATTGTCAGGCTTACTAATTTATGCAATCATAATAACAAAACAATTAAAAAAGCTGTAAGTTCGATCGGGATGAACTTTGATTACCCTCCGCCATTTGGAACGAATTTTGCAAGTCTCAAAGAAAATCGGTAGCTAAAATCATCAAAATAACGAATATCGGGAGGTACCGTTATATGGGGACTATAGGAAGACGTGGACCTGCACAGATAATTTTTTGCCATAGGTTGTAGTATCCATTACAAACATCAAATACCAAATTTGAAAGAATTTCGGTAAATAATGTCGCTAAAATCATCATAATACCGAATATCGGGAGGTACCGTACCGTATATGGGGGATATACGAAGACATGGACCCTCATGGTCCATTATCAAAAGTCCTTTCAGACATAATATACATTTGAGTAAATGAGTGAATTCCACAGGCGTATAGATGGACGGGCAATGCTCAATCGACAAAGAATTTTATGCTGATCAAGAATACAGGGTTGCCCATATTCGACGGACCTTTGGGCCCATTCCAATCGACGAGGCTTGTTCTTTGCGTCAATTGAATTTTGTACGGGAACAAATGCAAATCAATGCGAATAATCCGTTGTAAAGTGGACCGAGCCATGCCCAACTGCTGAGAACGGCGTTTTTGGGATGACCGATCGCCTTGGTCGACTTTTATATGGCCTCTTCGGATTAGAAAGAGCCTTACCAGTCGAAAATTTTTCGTATAAACGCTTAATGGTGTTCTTAGAAGGCGCACTTCTCACATTTCTTAATGTTTTAAAAGCACGTTGAGTTTTCACAATTGACTTCTTTTGTTGAATGTAAATTTCAATTATTTCGCATGGCGTGTATTGGTTCATGGTAAAAATCTGCTTGGACTGACGCTTCAAACGCGGTATGTCATTAAGTGATGTGACATCTCTGTCAAAAGTTATGGCGTTGCCAGATGGGTCCGTCGAATATGGGCAACCCTGTATAAGTATTCAAACATTCTATAGGGATATTAAAAGCTATGGTTGCAAGACTCCTTAATAAGTATAGAAGCAGACAACAATTATATCCAAGGATACGGTTGCGAGAGACCTTAATAAGTACTCATACAGACCACAAGGATATTCAACTCAAGCAGACTATAGGTATATACAAAGTTACGGTTGCAAGACACCTTAATAAGTACTCAAGCAGACTACAAGGATATTCAAGTATACGGTTGCGAGAGAAGCCAGATGCCACCACGTGTTTGCGGTGGAGTACGGGAACTTGTTTACTTAGAACTTTAGTTGTCACAATGGTGGTCACAAATACATCTGCCAGATTTTCTATAGCTTCCTGATTTTGATATAGCTTCCATACATACATTCATCCGATTTCACGGGTATTGTGCCCCAAATATGTAATATCAGCTAAAATTTAATTGATTTTGGCTCATTCAACCTATTCCCAATACCATACCGATATGTATATTTTTCAAAGTCACGGTTATTTGGTACGAAAAGTAAAAATGCCTCCGTCAAATTTGGTGGAAATAAATTCAGTCTTGGATATGCCTTCCAAATATTAGTTTCCTCAAATATTACTGGTAATTTTAAGAGTAGGTGGTTGTCATCACTTGTAGTTCTAAAATTTCCACTTGCTTGTACTTACCGAATTTTTATTGGGTATTGGTTCGGCTCAAAAAAAAAAAAAAAAACTTTGATCATATTTTCTACGAAACACTGTGCATTGTGTATTACCAGGATTACCTGAAATCCTTTTATTATTCTGTTGCTGTTGGCACCCTCCAGATGCAAATGGCTGCCAAATATTTCCCGCTGCTCTGCGCAAAGAAAAACTGTCTTTGGCCATGGATGTGCGTGTGTTCAGATGAATATATTGAAATCCTTTTTGTAAAACTTTAATTACAAAAGGTATCATATTAATGGCCATAACAATCCCGTTATTGTTCAAATAAAAAATAAGAGAACACTGAAGATATTATTTTTGTATTTATTCTTTACTTATTTCATTCATCCCCTCTCTTGTGATTGAATTTAACAATTTTGCGTAACTGTGTGTTTGATTTCTTTTTTTTTTTCTCTTTCGTTTTCCCCTCTCACCAAACAGAATTAAAATCGATATCTTAAATCAAGAATATACCGTTTATTATGTTGGCTCCAATTCGGGACACATCTACAAAATCGTTCAGTATTATCGCAACGGCGAATCTCTGTCGAAGCTCTTGGATATCTTTGAAATCGCCCCCAACGAACCCATTCAGGTGATGCAAATCAGTCAGACACGTAAATCGTTGTACGTTGCCACGGATCATCGTGTCAAACAAATCGACATGGCCATGTGCAATCGTCGCTACGACAATTGTTTCCGCTGTGTACGTGATCCCTACTGTGGTTGGGATAAGGACGCCAATACATGTCGTCCGTACGAATTGGATTTGTTGCAGGTAAGGTTGAGTTTTTGTCGATTTTTTATTCAGATTTTTGGTTTTTTTAACATGTGACATACAAAGTGGTAGCGGAAGAAGATGAAGAAGACAATGAAGCTGTTGGAATGGATGGTTAATACATTTGACAAATATCTTAAACACTAATACTATAAACCAGTATTGGTTTGTGTTATGAAAATTGAAAAGAAAACTTTAACCATACCATAACCATAACCATACAAATTACAAAAGCAGCTATCATTATAAAATAATCAATTTGGTTCATTTGATTCCGATCACACCACATTGCAATCAACTAAATTCTGCGGCACTAGAAACTTCTATTTTTAACATTATTCATCTGTATTTTCTTTTCTTTTCCAGGACGTTGGCAATGAGACCAGCGATATTTGTGATTCGAGCGTTTTAAAGAAGAAAATCACCGTTACCTATGGCCAAAGTGTACATTTGGGGTGCTTCGTTAAAATACCCGAGGTTTTGAAAAATGAACAAGTCACTTGGTATCACCACTCAAAGGATAAGGGACGGTAAGAGAAATGAATTTAGAAAAAATTGGACTTTTTAATTACTGACCACACATTTGTGTGTTCCTTAATTTTCTCGTTTTTTTCTCTCTCTGTTAGCTATGAAATCAAATACAATCCCACCAAATACATTGAAACCACAGAGCGAGGTTTGGTTGTGGTATCCGTTAATGAGGCCGATGGCGGACGTTATGATTGCCATTTGGGTGGTTCCTTGCTGTGCAGTTATAATATCACCGTTGATGCTCATAGGTATGTAAAGTTAATGTAGAATAACTCACACTTTTTAAACCCTTACTATGCGACATGAAAAAAATATAAGAACTTGAAATGAAAAAAAAAAATAAATAAATAAATAAAAATACATTCGAAAGTATTTTCATAAATAGCTCGAGAGAATTAGGCACCCCAAAATGCAACCACACTTATTTGAGAACGAGACAAGTTTCTCCACAGTCAACACCATTGAAGTACGTTCTAGAGCCTTATTTCAAAATAAAGGACATTTTTAAAATGCTTTGGAGTCTTCTATAAACCATATGAAAACCTTTGGGGTACTCCATAAATATAACACCTTTTTATGTTTGCTAAGAATGACAAACTTTGTTAGAGACTCCTTTACCTTTGAGTTTTACGGTTTTAAAATTTGCATTTTTGCATGGGTATGAACTTTTATACATTGGAATTTTTTCAGGACCCTTGAGAGTAGAAAGTATTTTCGGAACCTTCAAGAGAGAAAGAGAGAGGATTTTAAATAGCTTTATTTGGCAAAACTGGGTATTTTAGTTCCTCGAATAAAAACGAATTAAACCGGGTATGCCTAGCTCGTTTTTGAGTATGGGTAAATTCGCCCAGCCCACATCTACATAATAAACTGTTTGCGACTACACACTCAAGCACACAAATGCCATTTATTTCCCCATACGATTTTATTCCAAGAGTAAAGCCTTACATAATTTCGAATACACAGGAGTACACGTGAGAGTTCCAACTTGTACCGTATCAGAGTATTTTTAACTCAAGAGTAAAATCTATCAAATCAGTTCTTCTTTTTGAGAATCTCTTTGATTTTCGCTATGCTCTTCTACATGCAATACTTTTATTCTCTCTTACAGATAGAGCATCTTCAATAGATAAAATACTACTTTGAGCTCTTCTTTGGATATAATTTCTCTTTGAGGTGTTAAATATATAAAAAATCTTGTAATTCTCTCATATTGATACAGGATCTCTACTACAGATAAAAGATTTCTATGAGCTCTTCTATAGTTAATAAATTTTATGGACCTCTTCTAAAGATTGAAGATCTGGTGAAACTCTTTTATTAAATTTCTCGAAATTGTTGAGAAATATATTAGTAAGCTTTTTATATACAGAATAACGCTTTGAGCTCATTTATAAATATAAGGTATTTTTGAGGCCTTCTATACACAGCTCTTCAATAGGTATAATATCTCTTTCAGTTCTTCTGATTAAACATCTATATAACCTCTTTCATATATTGAAAATCTCTTTAAGGTCTTCTACAGATAGAAAGAATTGAGCTGAGAAAAAAAATCTCTCCTTGAGCTCATCTGAAGATAGAAGAGCTATTTTATGGATAGAAAATCTCCTTGAGCTGGCTTTTAAATAGAAGATTTCCGTAAGCTCATATATTGATAAAAGATCTCTTATTGAGATCACCTAGAGACAGAAGATCTCTCATTGAGCTCATCTATGCGTAGAAGATCTCTCACTGAGCTCATCTATAGGTAGAATATCTTTAATTGAACCCATCTATAGATAGAAGTTCTCTCCTTGAGCTCTTTTATGGATAGAAGTTCTCCTTCAGTTCTTATATAGCTGGAATATCTCTCCTTGAGCTTTTCAATAGATTTATCCCTGAGCTATTTTATAGACAGAAAATCACCTTGAGCTCTTCTATGGAAAGAAGATATATCTAAGCTCTTTTATAGACAGCAAATCTCTTTAAACGCTTTTGGATCTTTTTTGAGCTCTTCTGTAGATAGAACAGGTCTTTGAGATTTTCAAATAAGGTATCTGTGAACTTTTAGATAAATACACATTTAAATTCTTTTATAAATAGAAGTGGATTGATATTCTCTAACATAAGAAGGCCAGAGAAAATCTTTTATAAGTATTGTGATGGTTTTCCATAGAAAGATGCCCCTTTTCCCCCTCGAAATATCGCCCCAACATATCGCGCCTGGATTCGATCTGAACATTTGTAGCTGACGTAGAACGAACTTTATTTGTTTCAATTTCTTTATTTTTTATTTAACTTTTTTTGTCAAAATTAAACCGCCTCCATCTTATGAGGGGAAGTTCCCTGAAAGGATAGAAAATTGTATAGTGTTTAACCAATATGGTCCAATCATTTATATAACCTAAAGACCAGATGTGAGAATGCACAATGAGAAAATGATTCTTCAATGATTTTAATTATCATAAATACAGAAATAATAATAATAATAATAATAATAATAATAATAATAATAATAATAATAATAATAATAATAATAATAATAATAATAATAATTATAATAATAACAACAATAATAATAATAATAATAATAATAATAATAATAATAATAATAATAATAATAATAATAATAATAATTATAATAATAACAACAATAATAATAATAATAATAATAATAATAATAATAATAATAATAATAATAATAATAATAATTATAATAATAACAACAATAATAATAATAATAATAATAATAATAATAATAATAATAATAATAATAATAATAATAATAATAATAATAAATAAATAAATAATAAATAAACTACAATTAGTACACATTTTTCATCGAATTTCCTTCGGTTAAAAACCTACTTTTTTTCACCAAAGGTGTTCCTCGATATTCGTAAATAACTCTTATTATCATTATTAATTCCACTTAAACACTTGTCATTATTTTCCTTTTTTTCTCAATTACAGATGTACACCACCTAACAAGAGTAACGACTATCAGAAAATCTATTCAGATTGGTGTCACGAATTTGAGAAGTACAAAACAGCCATGAAGTCATGGGAAAAGAAACAAGCGGTAAGTTTTGCACAAGACACAAGCTAACTACTAACCTATTAAAATAGATAGATTGACATCAAGACATAGACCATAAATATCTAAGAATTTACATTCCATTGACCTAAACCACAACAATAAATCCGTACTATCCGTTGACCCATCACCTATTCGAATATATATCCCGTCCATCCATACATATCGTCGGAGCCGTCATGTGTTTTCTGTTCTGTGGTCTGTTGCATTTAGCCGGTAATAACACAACAACAAATCAATATCGAACAATTTGAACGTTTAAACTTAATTCACACACACACACACACAAACAAGTTAATTTGATATTCACTTAATGGCAGGGTTGAATTGCATTGTCCGTCATCCCATTGTGGGAACTTTGCACTGCAGTCAATTGGTGTTACGGCAACAACACTTTTTGTTTTAATAGTTACTTGGTAATCCCTTTCATTATTTAAAAATCAATAAATATTTTATGAAATTTATAGGCTTAATTGAATATTGGAGGTTTAGAGTAGTTAAGGGGATTATTGTGTCGTAAATATGTATTTAGAGTTCGAAGACTGCAATTGATGGTTGGTTGTAGATCGAGTGTGTGTGTGCAAAAAATTATAGGGTTTGTTCTTCGAAAGTAGAAACCATTTAAGGAGAATAAATAAAGTTGAATTTTGTAGGTAAATTGAGTGACATGAATTTTTTAAGTATTAGTACGTAAAGGTATAAAAGAAAATTTAGGAATATTTTTCACATTAAAAATGTAAAATGAAAAAGTTTGGTGAAATTAAAGGAATACATTTGCCTCAAACGGTTCATTATCTTACAGAAATGACAGAAATGTCACGAATTCGTCCTTTTATGTTGGGTAAGAATGCATCAGTTGAATCATGCTCGTCTGTAAAGACATGAGCTTTACCTTAGCCCCACAAAAAATAGTCTAAAGATGTCAAATCCCACGAGGCCAATGACCGGACCCGAACCTAAAATAAAATGTTCTCCGAACTTACCTCTCAATAAATCAATTTTTTCGCGTGGCATGTGAATCCACATGTCAGCAAGTGAAGCTCTTGCTATTTGGCCAAAAAAAGTTTCAAGTCAGCATTTTTGAAGAAGTATGGTCGAGGAATGCCACCGGCCATAAACCGCACTTTTGACTTTTCTTGACCTTTATTCAAAAATCGAAAATTCTACTTATTTACGTAATCATTGCGTCAAATTTGCTACGTTGCAAATTGAAATAAGCGCTCAAACTTTTTAGAAGAAAAAAAAAACGCACGCATTTTGATCATAAAATTCAATGATTTGCAAGCGTTTGTCGTTTGTAAGACGACTACAAAAAATTCGTGAGATACTTAAACCAGCCAAAAATATAATTGGTAACTAAACAAACAAGTTCCCGCAGTTTTATCAGCGATAATTTCACCTTAAACTTCCCGATACCAACTTAAGTAACATTTAGTATGCATATCCAAAAAATCTACACTTCCCCATTTGGTACTTTTCGAGTTAAGCAAATATTTCAAAACGAGCTCCAAATCTCTGCACAAGATACCAACAGTGACATCTTTCTAAAATATCAGGATTTTAGCTCTACTCCCAATAACAGATTTAGTACCATTTAGTATTTTCCGTACAAATATAGGACGCATTTTAACACTACCGCCAGATTTCAATTCCAGATACCAACAGAGACTTTAATATCAAATTAAAGGATTCCAGCCCTATCCCTTCACCTAAATATCAAATTTCAGCATTCCAGCCCAATCCCCTCTCCCAATACCAAATTTAGTGTCATTTAGTACTTTTCGTACAATTGTACTACACATCCCCAAACCACCTTTATATCTCAATTCCAGATACCAACACATACCTCAATATCAAATTTAAGGATTCCAGCCCTGTCGCTTCACCCAATACCGAATTTAGTACAATTTAGTACTTTTCGTACAAATATTGGACGCATTTCCAAACTACCGCCAAATATCAAATTCAAATACCAACATCGGCCTCAATATCTAATATGAGGATTCCAGCCCTATCCTTTCAGTACGCATTTCCAAAACCACCTTCATGTATCAAACTTACTTTCGAACCTTGATTTTTGTACCAAATTTCAATAACTTGCTCTATTTGTTCACACACTACCAATTGGTTTTATACCATTTTAGACTTTTTCGTAACCTTAATTTTCGACTTTCCAAAAACTCTCCATCGGTGACTATAATTTCCAAATTGCAGAATTCCAGCTCTATTGGTTCACCACAATTCGAATTTGTACCTAATTAAGTACCAGTTAGTATACATAAGTACACATTTCCATAAGGGCCAACTTAGTTCTCCCAACATTTAAATTGTACCAAATTCTGTACCATTTAGTACACATATGTACGAAGCTTTATCGGTTAACCCAAATCGAAATTGTACCAAATATAGTACCATTTAGTACTTTTCGAGCGCATAAGTACAAATTTCGAAAAATCCATATCCGAAACTCCACATCCGAATTCTACACTCCGCCAGGGTTCAGGAAACGTTCCTCTAAATTCAATTTGTACTAAATTTCACACATGATACGAAATGACACAAAATGTAGTACATTTTAGTACTTTTCGTACACTTATAGTGCCTTTGAAACATCTTTCAAACACTCCATCAGTGACCCTCTCTATGCTTCCTCAAGTACAAAATATATCATATTTAGTACCTTTTAATACCTTTCGTACCGTTCTAATATGAATTTCCAAAAACCCAGCCTTACCAGATCCCATCGGACCAAGAGTGACCCTCACCAAATATTTCAAGGTTCTATTAAGGTACAGGGTGAGATGAAAAAACTGCAACCAACTTCAGACTGCTGTCATTTCGAAGTCACTCGTCCGACAGCTACTAAAATTATTCCAATAACAGCATATTATATTGTTTACAAGCGCACAAAAGCATATTGGCAAAAACTTTCCAGAAAAAAAGTTATTCGTGATAGAATTCAAGCGTGATAGTGTTATTTTATTATATTTGGCTGGAAAACCGCTTGGCTATCGTTAGAGCACTTCAGCATTTAAATTTGAATAAATCTTTTGTGTCTCGTACCATCGCTCGTTACGCTGATACCGGCAGCGTAGCCCGACGTCAAGGAAGTGGAAGGAAGAAAACAGCAACATCAGCAGAAATGGTTCGAAAAGTAAAGAAGCGACTTGATCGCTTGACTTGCTTCACAGTGGCCGAAAAATGGCTCGTGAGCTGAACATATCGCAATATTCCATTCGGCAAATATTGAAAAATTAGCTCGGGGTAAAGCCATTGAAATTCCAAAAAGTGCAAAAACTTACACCGCAACGGAAAGAAAATAGACTCAAAAGAGCTAAAAAGTTGCTTCGCTTGACCGAAAGTTGTACTCGCGGAATTTGGTTTTCTCCAATGAGAAAACATTCATTGTCTAGCAGTTTTTAAACAAACAAAATGATCGTGTTTACTTGATAACGAGATCAGCTGAAATTGTGCTGCTTCGGTTGGCCACCAGAACTCAAGCACCGGCCACGGTAATGGTGTGGGCCGCCATAACAGCCGATGGTCGCTCTCCGCTCGTATTAATCGACCGTGGCATCAGAATAAATGCCGAATATTATCGCGAAAATATTCTGGAAGGTGTAGAGGCCGCAGACCTTGGTCATTCAAACAGAACTCAACACCATCGCACTCAGCACGCGCCATTCAAGAATGGTTACAAAATGAGATTCCTTGTTTTATTTCCATCGCACAATAGCCACCAAAATCTCCGGATAACTATGCGTTCGACTATTGTGTCTGGAGTATTTTGAAAAACAAGGTTGACACTAAAAAATACCAAATTGAGGCAAAATACCGCAAAGCAACATTCGGGCAGCGTGTGACGGTTTCATTGGCCGTTTGAAGGAAAAAATTTTAACTTTTTCTAAAATTTGTTTCTATTTTCGAAATGTTTTGCTTTTATTCAATAATAGTATAATATAATAAAACTGTAAAAATTATGGCGTTTGAATTTGTTGCAGTTTTTTTTATCTCGCCCTGTAGATATAGATTAATTTAATTCGACTAGCTGTTATTGCAGAATAAAATTTTTATTGAAACCATATATATCCTATTGTATTTATTGACCACTGTATTTTTCTCCTTTTTTCATTTCAGCAATGTTCATCGCGTCAAAATTTCAGCCAACAACACCCCAATGAAGTATTTCGCAAAAACATAGTCTGATATCAAGAAGGACTCAATGATGCTGCTAATCCATTAACGTCCATTAAACTTTTTTAAAAGAAAAACAAAATTATTCATTTTGATCTAAAAACAAGGAAACAACAACAATTTAACAACTAACAAATTCATGAGAAACACACAAAAAAACAGACACACAAACGCATACATACTTAACCATATATATATACAATGCAAAGCAATAGCAATATACTATTTATATAAAAACAAAGAAAAAAAACAACAAAATAGCAAAGAAACTAATTAAAAGATAACTGGCAATGACGAAGCCGTTTAAACGCTAACATAACGTAAAGACATAAAATCTGCAGTTTAGACAAAGACAAAGAGACAAAACACTATAAAAGTTCCCGCATATTTAAAAAATACATAACATTATTACGATTATTATTATTATACATATGACAAGAAAAATAGCAATATGAGATCACAATAAACGTGGCATTTATTATAGAGATTTGTAAGTTTATTATATTACAATTAAAAAAGAAAATAATAAATAAAGAACAAAATGCAAAAAAAAAAAAAAAACAATAATAAAAAACAGTATATAAACTAAGAATAACAATCCATCAAATCGACATTACTACAAGCAACGTATTACAGTTTATAACAGTTACAGTTGATAGCTGAGATTCTAATGATATTTATCCAAAGTATTTTCATGATCGCTTTCACAATTTGCTAGCCAAATGAAAACTTTAGATAACAAGAAATTGAAACAAGAAAAAAATTAATAAAAACAAAACTACTATTAACTTAAATTGCATATAAATTTAATAAAAATAAATCAAGTAATTGAAAAGAATTCCTTTCCCACATTAAAGCTAACAAAACTACTGCCCTTAACAACGAAACAGACACATCCTCACATGTATATCCTATGGCTAAAAATTGGTGAACTAAGTTTGGAATCAGACACTCACATACATATTATTTAATACACACATTCATATACACAATCAATCAAACGTAAAAAAATAATTTATTAATAAAAAAACAATACATTTTTAGTTGTAATGAAAGTGCAATCGATCGATCACTCAAAATGTAACACTTGTTTTCAATTGGGATTTTCTATTAACCATGTTAAAAAAAAACTTGAAATACTACTTGAGCCAAATAACTAATAATGTCAACAAACTACGTTCTGTAATACTAATCGGTTGAAAATAATAGGTACTTAAAAACACAAGTTAGCAAATGCTATAGCTGTGCGAGGCCGACCATGTGATACCCTACAACACTACAATATATTAGAAGCCCCTTTAAGTTCGAATGCATTTTGGAAGACTTCGCTTTTGAAATTATGTCACGGAGCACTGCCCAAATATTACCCTTAGCGTTTTGACCAGGGACATTTGCCCAACATTTATGCACTCCGTAGTGTTGTTAGTTGTTGTTGTCCATTTCACAGCTAAATACAATCCAATGGACATCTAAAATGCTAGACATCTTCGCTGTCCTTTAATCTGTTCTCATGCTACATTCGGTGTCGATTGGTTTCAATTGTGTGATCAGGAAAATGTTTCTGTTTTCGTTCATTTAAACCCGTAAATATTTTGCGATCATCTCCAAAAGTCAAAATTTAGAATTATCTATATGATTTGATTGTCTACGATATTTGGCTATATTCATCTACGAAATCAGCATAAAAAGTCAGAAGCTCGCCTTTTTGTGTATTTTTGACATCGCTGTAAGTTATGTAGGAATTTTTTCACACCAAAGTAGTGGATTCCGTGTCCTTTGGTTTCTAAGTAGTATTCGTGAGGATCATACGATAATTGCAATATGTATACAATAAATCCAAAAGAAACAAGTAAGCAAAGGCTATAGTCGAGCGGGGTCGACCATGTGATACCCTACAACACTACAATTTATTCGAAGTCCCCTTACGTCCAAATCCAATTTGGAAGATTTCGTTTTTGAAATAATGTCAAAAATAATTTCCCTGTCTCTTCTGATGTGAACTTCTGTGTCGATTAGTTTCCAATTGTTGTCTATAGAGCGACTACACGATTAGAAAAAAATAAATTTTTTAGTCCATTTGAACCCCTAAATGTAAATCTTAAGAACAATAGGATTTAATTCAGACCCTAACCATCATGCAAAATTTCGTGAGGATCGGACGATAATTGCGACATGCATATAATACCCTCAAAACGTAGTGTTGCAGGGTGTAAGAATTTAAAAAATTGTAAGTCAAATTGAAAAAAATTGCATCCACTAAATATTGTCCGATGGCCGCCCAAATTGGTAGACTCCATGTAAATTTCCGCATTGATTGGTTCATAATTGTGGCTTATAGAGCAATTGCAATATCAAGAAACTTTTCTGTTTTTGGTCCATTTCAACCACTTAATATTGTGCAATCATCTCCAAAAACAATAGGGTTCTTTTCTGACCCTATCCCCACCTCCATTTTCAATTTCGTGAAGATCGGGCCATAATTGCGACCTGTAGAGTGATTACAAATTAACATGGGAATACGGACGGATGGACATACTAGATCGACTAAGCTTGGCGAAATAGGAAGATTCATTTCCTATGTTGGAAACCAATATTTCGAGGTGTTACATAAGTTTTGGCCCAATCAAACTTATAATACCCCCAACACATAGTGTTGTAGGGTATTTCCAAGTCGATTTCGATTTTCAGAAATTTGCCATCAAAGTAGCAACATTTTCCAGCCGAATTAGCTTGAATTTGGCATTTGGTGTGTAGAACCTTTTGGGGATATTAAGAAAAACCCCCTCAATATAGGTTCATGTTTGGGTGCAGCCCTCCATGAAATTACATATACTTAAAAAATTTAAAATTTTTGAACAGATTTGTTCGATTCATAAATTTTTATATCCTTTCAAATATTGGGTATGTAGCAAAATATTGGGTAACACCTCGTAATATTGGCGACATTATATGTGGATCTTCCAATCTTACCGAACTGAGTCGATCTAGCGACGTGTGTTTGTCTGTCCGTCTGCCAATGGTAATTCGTAATCACGCTACGGTTAGCAATTTTTGTCCGATCCTTACGAAATGAAGAACCGAGGTAGGATTAGCGTTAAAATTAACCAAAAATTATAAACTTCCTGATTTTGCTGTGTGTGACTACAGGGGTCATAAATATAGGGCAAACGGCATCAGTCCAAAGATAACATTTTTCCAGAACTGTATCGAATTATTTTAAAAACAAAATCGACCAAAGTGGTTTTGGACTTTTCCAATATATTATGGTGTTGTAGGGTTTTACACAAACGACTATAGCCTCTGCTCGAAAAGCCAATATTTTCTGCATTACCCCCATTAAAAACGGATTCTGGTTAAGTTCATGGAATAATCTTCATCTTGGGATTGCCATGTCATCATATATTTTTGACAGGTCATTTAGAAATTTTGAATTGTATCTTCGAGATTTCTAGTGACCTATAAACCATACTCCCCCAACAAACTGTTCTCCCGGCTCGATCTGTGACAATATCATCAAAGAATTTCGATATTTTGGTTTATCATATAAAGGTCACTCGCGATGTAAAGGATTTTATTGTTTTTAAGTATTTAATAACCGAAAAGCCAATATTTGAGAATAACAACACTCTATTTGCAGAAAACTTCCAATATCGGTCCTAGATTTTCGAGATTTTAATATAAACGAATTCGGTGTAAATTAGAACATTGGATTCTCGTTGGGCAATGAACGGGGAACAATGAATTTAATTTTAATAAATTATATTTTAGAACTCGTGAAACCTTGATAGAATACATTCTCGACATTCTCCAGCTACAACTTTTTCAAATCGTGTTTTGAAGATCCTATACCAAATGAACGCAACTTCATTATTTTTTTGCCACTTTCAAGGCACAATTTAAGTTTCAATAGTGCTTTGCTTGGTTACGATCAGCTGCTTTTTGGAATTAAAAATTTTTCCGATTATAGTATCAGCTCTTTAAAAACCATAATAATTCCCGTTCCAAATAAATTTAGCTTAGCCCATATACTGAGTTTTACCCGAATTAATTATTGAAATTTAATTTTTTTACCCGAATTATTTATTTAAATTTAAATGAATGAAGTAATTTTAATTCTCTACCTATGCGGAATCTTCTTAGCTTTCGCTGGTATTTGGCTCTTCGGCTTCACAAAAATTAATAACAAGTAAAAAATCAGATAAGTTCGACAGGCCGAACTTAAAATACCCTCAACCATTTTGAAAAAGAAATTGAAAATTTTCAAAAAAAAAAAAAAAAAAATTGGAAAACTACCACTTAAATGAAAACCGTTATTGGTGATGAAAATCATGAAAATACGGAGTATCGGGAGGTACCGTCATATGGGGGCTATACGATTTTTTTGCTATAAATTGTCATAGGCTGTAGTACCCATTACGAACTTCAAATACGAAATTCGAAATAACCCCGGTAAATAGTTTCGCTATAATTTATGGGAGCTATACGAAGACTTGGACCTGCATACAAAAAATTTTGTCATAGGCTGTACTGCCCATTACGGACTTCAAATACGAAATTTGAATTAATGTCGGTAAATAATGTAGTTGAAATCATCAAAATACCGAATATCAGGAGGAACCGTTGTATGGGGGCTACAGAGAAACGTGGACCGACATGACCCATTTAAGAACTTAACCTGTCTACTGCTAAACTATGCATATATGCAAAATTTTAGCCTTCTATCTCAATTTGTTCGAAAGATAGCGTGATTACAACAGACAGACAGACAGGCGGACATCGCTAGATCGTCTTAAAATTTTACTTTGATCCAGAATATATATCCTTTGTAGGGTCTATTGTGAATATTTCGAGGAGTTACAAACGGAATGACAAAGTTAATATACCCTCCATAGAATAGTGGAGGTTATACAAATAGGTAATGAGGAAATATTCTATGTGTAAATGCTATGCTATGTGTAAATAGTGCCCTTAAAGTTGTACCGACCAAAATGTAAGAAATTGGCTCAATGTGGGTAAACGTTTAGTGGACATTATTATTCTTTTTTTTAAGACTTTATTGAGAGATATTAATTCTTCGAATTTTTTTAAATTTTCAATTCTTTTCAAATATATTATTATTTTAGTATTAAATTAGGGCAAAATGACTATGTTGCACCACCACCAGGCAATAAATTCTATTCACTATCTTTATATCATTGAATAATATCCTTGAGGATCGATTGAGATGTATTTCATACTATAATAAATTTCTAAACTAAAAAAAATATTAAAAAACCCACTAATAATTGACAAAAATATTGCAAAACAACAGATGATATAAAAATTAAAATACTCAACTGATAAATAAAAACAACAAAAAACTTTAAACCAAAAGCCGTTAAACATTGTGATTCACTAAATTCAAAATCCTTACATACATAACTCATAGCAAGCAAAAAAAAAAAAAATAAAATAAACTAACAAATTTTATTAGCAACATTTGTGAGC